CTTTTGTGCTGCGACCTTTGCATTCAGACCCGCAAGACATCCTGTCTCTGATTAAAGCGCTGATGAACCCTGATGTTAGATAAGGCTGATCACACAGGCTGCTTTTTCTCCCTTATCTCTCTCCAAGCATTGTGTCTCTGATTGGTGGTTCTATAACCTCTATAATGTCAGTATGCCTTTTTTTTTTTTAAAGAGATAAATGAATCTAAGTAAGTGCTCACTACTTTGTGTGTCTGTGTGTGAAAGGATGACATCATGCCGTCCTCTCCTGGCTGCTATCACCACTACTTGTACTTTAGGCTGGTGAGTCCTGATCCACGCCAGTGTTTAGCCGGGATCCAGGTTTTCTCCAGCTGCTGTGTCAGAGTGGGGGTGGGACTGCACTGCAGAGAGAGATAGAGGGAGGTAGGAATACAGAGAGAGAGAGAGAGAGAGAGAGAGAGAGAGAGATGCTTGCCAATGTGGTACTGTGTTAGGAGATCCACATAACAGAGAGGAAGAACGAGTGAAAGAAGAAGCCTCACAAACTGTTTCCAGACACAAACTCCACACAGGTAAAAACACAGCTTTCTGTGAATACTTGTCTCCATTTGTATGCGTGCACATGCATGAGTGCTTCAGGAATTCGGCGTGAGTCACTGCAAGGTAAACTGTAAATTAATTTTGTAGCAGAGGTGGATCCTTTCTTTTTCATGCTCTAAGGCTTTTTTTTTTTTTTTTATAACGCAATTGAATTTTCAAGGCAATCCCCCCCATCTGCTGGATTAATTGGATTGCTGGTGTGTGTCTGAGTCAGATGGAAAAATGAGTCGTCACAGAGAATGTGGTATTAATTATTTTCCGGGTCTGGTGCGTTGACACGTCTCAGTTGCGTCTGTGTTTCTTGGCATCCGTACAAGCCAACATCCTGATCGAGGAGGAGACGAATACACCTGTGTGTGTGTGTGTGTGCGCGTGTGCGTGTGTGTGTGTGTGTTCAGTATGGGTGTGTTGCAACCACATGTGTATTTTTTCAGGTCTGAAACTCACAGTCTTAAATCCTCTTCAGCTCTTATCTGCCTTCTTTGGTTTCTCTCCACCTCCCTCACTGTTGTTTTCCTAATTTATCACTCTCTGTTCACCCCCCCAAAAAACACACACACACATACACACACACACACACACACACACACACACTGTGCCCATTCACTGCAGTTCATTTCAGTTTGGTTCAATTCAATGCTGTTTTCTCTGGACATTCATACTTATGGGGAGACCACAACGTTTAAAGCCAGTGTTAGAAGAAGAAGAAGTTGCAGTCAATCTGTGCTTTTTTTATTTTACTTCCAAACTTTGCAGTGGGTCACTTAAATGATATGAAGAAAAGAAAGAACGAATGTTAAAATCAGAAATCTGAAGACAATGTGGCAGCACTTTGTCTTTCTCTCAGTAGATTTCTTCTGTTTCTACTCCTCACTCAGCTTTGCCCTTTCCCCCTCTTTTTCAGTGCATCCCTACAGTGTTTTCCAATTCCTTGCATGTCTGCCTCTCTCTCTCTGTCTGGCCTCTATGTGTTACCACCAACCAGACGCTGTGCACGTGACTGTGCATGCTACTTATTTGTTTTAGTAGTACAAGGGATGTGGGTGGATTCATATTAATATTCCTTTGATGTGTCTCAAATGCATCATACTTTCATTACCCCCCCCCCTTTTTTTTTTTCTTCCTCTCACCCCTAAATCAGCTTCCATTTGTTGCCATGGCAACTGTGTTTGATCTCCTCTCCCCCCACCCCTCTGTCTGAGCACCCTCCTTGTCATCCCATTTCTTTATCACTCTTTCTTACCCACTCTTATCCCCCCCTCTCATGTCTCTCACCTATCCACTTGCCAGGAGAGGCGGCCACACCCTCCCCCTCCGCTGCTCCGATTCTGTCACCCCCTTCATACAATCCTACCACCCGAAAACACGCGCCCCCTCCCCACAAACCCATTCTTCTCCCACCAGACCTCTCCCCAAAGCTTTATATGCTGCCTCACCTTTTGAATTATTCATGTGATGTCCCTGGTCACCCTGGTGACACACCATCAGAAGGTGCAATTCTCTGATCAACATGCTGACCTTGTTGCTGTTGTGACAATGTGTGTGTGTGCTTTGTCGAGCTGGATGTGTCGAGGGTCACGTATGGTATAGCACAACAATGGATCTATACATCACATGATGGTACATTTCATTATTGCAAGCCCAATGGATTAGTCTCCTTTCGCTTCTAATTATGAGTGCTGTGTGGAGGCCCGTTGGTTTGTGTACGTGCCCATGTTTTATTGATTAGTCTGAAAAGCTCCTTAAGATGCGACTCGGGTGAGCAATAAAAGGAATTACAAGCCATAGGATCAGCTTGTGGTGACTGGCTAGTACAAGATGATATTACTTGTCGATGTTGTTATATGAGTGTGTTGTTAAGAACTGAGGATGGACAAACTGTCGATTAAAACTTCTTCCCTGTAAGACTTATGAGGTTCATCAGAAGTGAGAGCTGAAATAAAACATTCAGAACTTCGCAAAGGTTATATTCTTGTGAGGCAAGTTTCCTGTACTGTATCAGACAGTGCAGACATGTATGTAATGTTCCCCTTCAATGCATTAAAACCGTTAAGGCCTCTAATCACTGACAATCATTCATATGAAATGTGTGATGCTCAGGAGTAGCGCTACTTGGACTACAAACATGCTGCTTTCTAAGGGAATCTTGTTGGCTATTTGCTATGTGCATTGCATATGGCATTATATGCAAAGCAGCTTGTTATTCTCCCAACAGAGAGCCTATTAGCATTCACACACAGGCCTCTGCAGTGATCAACACATGCTCAGGCATACAGGAGAGAGAGAGAGGACTCGTATTCATATTCATATTCTGTCTTCACGTTGTTATCGGTAATCTGCTCGCTGCGCTTACTGTACTGCTGCGAGGCACTTGTTTCCCTCCTGTGTCTGCCTCTCCACCTATCTTCTACACCCCCACACGTATGCAAATTCATACGCAGTTCCACACCGTTCTCTAGGTGCGAAGGTCTGTTCCTGCAGAAGGGGTTAACCAGTGACTCATCAGACAGGTGATGCTGAGCTGCGGTTTGGTTACAGCTTTCCACATATATAAACAGCATCAGTCGATAATCCTGACTCTCACATCGTGGTGTACGAAAAACTGCAGTGCCTGTATCAAGTCTCGGTAGAACAGTTAGCACACAAGCAGAGACGGTGTGCTGTATACACACAGTGTAAGTGTCTGTAGGAGGTCTGGTCAGATGATGAATGCGAAGAAGATTCAGATAGTGCTGAGCTCTATTCCTGGCAGCAGAATCAATAGCATACAGCCACACATGCCTGTATTGGGCCCACTAAAATGGAATAAAGAGTCAGAATCACATTATAAGCCAGATACTCAGAGCCTCATCATCTAACATAACAGGATTCATTAAATAATCACATGCGTGCACACACAGAACTCTAGTTAGTCATCCCCTGTTCATATTTTTTCTATGGGATTGTCCAAACACTGTCCTCTGGGTGTGGCACCGTTGTGCAGCAGAGGAGCAGCCGTGCATGGAAAAATTAAAACCTGGCTCCGTCTGTGCCTACAACAAGAGTTCATGCGAAGGAGTAATACATTTTGCAGCTCTGCAGAAGTGTCAAAGACAGTTCTTCTGGAATCGGTCCAGGTTTGTGCCGGGGAGGAGTGCGTCTGAGGATGTTTGTTTTATGCACCGTTTACTGAACTGTAGGTGTTAGAAGGATTTTTTTTTCATCATTCTGTTGCTGCTGCCTGCAGTTACTCACCTCTCACATCTTCTCCAACGTTTTTTGAGTGTGTCTGTGGAGTTGTGTTGCTTGTTTTGTGGGGACACAAATACGTAAGATGGGCAGGTAGTGGTCATGATTAGTCTCAAATGAGTGCAGCTCAATGGGATGATTTCTGAAGTGATGGAGACACAACTATGTGTGTGTGAATAAGTCAGAGTTTATTATATTGTTGTTGTGATGGTTGATGTGAGATGGAAGTAGACAGACAATGATTCTAAGTAAACACTTTTAGGTTGTTTCCAAAGAACGACCTCAGGCAACATCAGCTCAGACAGAACAAACTACTGCACAGTCACCTCTTTCCAGCTCCAACTCACTGTTAGTTAAAAAATCAATATTTGGAAAATATGCTGTGTGCAACCTGCAAACACCCTATATAATCCACAGACTGAAGAGGAGGGGATATTGGACCGTCTGGACCGACCTGCAGTTCAGGCGCTGCTTCATCTCTAAGTGATTCTCTTTGAAAAACAAAGAGAGATGAAAATCAAAGGAGAGGGAGGTGGACAAATTGTTGCATTTGAGCAGGCGTATCAGAATTCATCTGGATTGCCGTGGCGATAAGTTATTGTAGTTGTCACAAGTGAAAGTAACGTCTGTCAAGCAAGAGGCAACGAGCCAACTTGTGCTTTTCTCAATGCAGCAGCTTCTTGAACATTCTTTCATGTCAAGTTTACACAGATCTGGAGTGATGGGCATGAAAAAGATAAAATGAAAGTCCTCATCGCCAGCAAATAGATTAAAAAATAAAACCTCACGTGGGCTCTAATTACCCTTTTGTCTGCAAAAGCCTGATCAAGGCTTCTTTTAAGGTTACAGCATCTGCTTAAGAGAGCAGAGTGAGCAACATGCTTTGATGGTGCATTGAATAAATGCAAAATAAGATATTTACACAAGCCATTTAGACTTGAAGTGCTCTCTGCTTTTGTAATGTACAGCCTACAAAATCTGTCCCTGAATAAGGACTAAAGAGAAGCAGGGAAAGAGACAGGCAGGGAGACTGTGAGAGAGGTGGGGGTGTTAATTCATTATTCATCCTATAATTTGGCATTAGAGGTCAGAGTCGATGTATCTGCCTCCTCCTTCTACCCGTCTTCGCTCTCCTGCTTCCAGATTAATGTTCTCACCGATTCCTCTCCAATTCTTTGTCTCCGTTACAGAAACTGGACACATAGACCCAGTCCTCATCGAGCGCTACAACACCCCAGGTTTCATCGGGTGTCTCTCTCGGGTTCAGTTCAACGGAGTCGCCCCCCTCAAGTCCGCACTGAGAACAGCCGCGCAGGCCACGCCAACAGCCGGTCAGCAGGACAAACAGCCCGCAGCCACCTTACCTGTGTCTTTCCAGGGCAAACTAGTAGAGTCCAACTGTGGGGCGTCACCACTCACCATCCCACCAATGTCTGCCGCAACGGATCCCTGGCATCTGGACAACACAGGTGGGTGTTTCCACATAGACCCTCACAATGCTGCGACCTGTCTGTACCAATAGTATAGAAATAGAAGCCTTTTGGTGGTGCAAAATCAACTTAGAAAGATTCTGAACTACTAATGAGAAAGTGTCACCTTCCTCTTCAGTGTAGCAAAGAAAGATTTCTAAGTTTACTACAATTTTTTCCCATTTTTGGCATCGACAGTGTGACCTTTATGCAGTTTGTGTCTGCAGTCGTAGCTTCTCGGGATCAACAACTACTGGATGGATTGTCATTGTGCAGAATATTTTTGCACCATCAGAGGCTAACTCCTGCTAGATTTTCCTTAAGCCCCATCATGAGATTCATATTTGTGACTCCTAGTGAAATATATTGAATGGATTACCATGAAATTTGGTTGAGACATGGTTTGGATAGTAAGTAATTTTTCACGTAGCATCATCATCAGGTCAGAATTTTAGCTTTTCTAGTCCGTCATTAAATAACAAAATACCTCCAGAAATGATGGTATCATCGTCAGCTTGCAGCGAACATGCTTGTGAGTGTTTCAGCTTGCTGGTGTTAGCATTGCTGCACCACTGGCGTTGCTGGAGGCATGTTCCATCACTCTACATGTGATTCATGACGCCGGTACACGACCCCCGTCTAATTTAGAGACATGAGGACACACATTACTATGCATATATGCAGATACTGTTCCACCACAACGTACACGATAATTGACTCCTGACATGCAAACACAGCCTCGCTCTGTTTCCGTCGTGTCAGTCCTGTGCGTCTCGTGCTACGTTCAAACGCAGCATTCGGTATTCTGAGTGACATTATTCTTGAAGCAGCCATCTTACTCAGGCTCTGAGCCAACTGTGCCTTTGGGAGCACTGAACTCTCTCAGATTGATCCAGCCCATCGATCCAGACTCCAGGTTCAGCTCTCCATCATCCGTTATTTATTTCGCCTTACATTTTCTATAGATAGCTCTAATCTATAATTCATACAAACCTCCCTCCATCTCTCATTTGTAATGGTAATTGTGTGACTTCCAATTTTATTTTTTTATTTTTTTTTGCATTTGTTTCTTTTATTGTTTTCTCATTCCTGTTCTTCCATTTCTTATTTTTTAATGTATTTGTCATCTCCTGATTTTTCCTGTTTCTGACCTTGTGTCGTGTTTTCAGATTGATTGTATTCTGGACATTATATACATGCGAACAGCTGACAGACCAAAGCGTCCTCCCGCTTTTTACATCGGATTCTTACTCATGCTCTTGACTTCCCTGGAGAACGATGGCAAATACAGTCAGTGGCAGAAATAGCTGCCATCTTATTCCAGGGTGATGTTTTGTGTGACTGTATGTGTATATTCACTGCTGGATTATGCATGTCTGCATCGCCATCCTCTGAAAAGAAATGAGAATTGAGGACAAGAGATTTCAACAGCACCATATTTCTCCTTTTCACTCAGCACCCCCTCCACTCATCCCAACCCCTGATTTCTCCGTCCGCTCGTTCACTCTCCACTTCAGTGCATCGAGGGAGAATCCGAGCAATTAGATTACGGCTGTACGTGGAGAATTAAAGTGGGCAGACAGAAGCAGCAGGTGTTATTAACCTCTTAGCCTCTGATGGAGCTTTAATGAAATACAAGAAACAATGCAGCCATACATTAAAACAAACGGCTCCCCAAAGGATGATGTGTATCCGTCTCGTTGACCTTCTCGTGTTTACATTCAGTGAAGCTGTCGGCTGTATAGAAGAAAGCAAGAGCTGAAGTCTGTCCTCCTCCATTAGTGCATTCTGTTGTTTCCATTGTCTTTATAAATCAGCACAAGTTATGCATGAAATTGTTCCTTGTGACTTTTTACTGCTAAAAAAAAAGATCATTTCTGTGCTGCTGTAGGCAGAACTGTGACATGTTGGTATTTTCTTGACCTTGAATAACACTCTGCCCATCTGTTTGGTATTCCCATGTGCACAGATGGATGTAGAGTAGCTATTCTTGTTGCGTAAGTTAAAACTTGTTTGTTTCTTTCTCTCTGTTTTCAGATGCAGAGTTCCCCTTCAATGAGGAGAGAGTGATTCCTGATGGAGTCAACAGGGACTCGGCCATCATCGGAGGTACATCATTATATAAGTGCTG